CGTCTTAACCACCTAGCCACCGTGGCTCCCTGTCTGCTAAGGCTTATTACATGTATATAGTTATACCATATTGATGAATGTATTATGTGTGTTAGAGACAGAGAGATGGTTAATTTCCTCTGGATACAAACTATGTCATTTTAAGACTAACACATGGTTGAAATTTATTTCAATAATTCGCTAGCGCGTATGGGTCTTTAGCAGTGGGAGGACCCGGAGAAAATCCACGAGGTTGGACAGGCGACCCTACTGCCTGTCACATACAAGCGGAGAACTGAAACTACGCCACTTGACTCAATGACAGACCTTGTAATCAAATGTGCACGCGTTAATGTTTCGGCCACCCAATTTACTTAAAAAGCATTCATCTAATGTACAGGTATGTACATCAAATGGAATAATCCACATTAATTTGTTATACCCACTTGTTATTATATTATTGTCAACAAATCCTAAATCACATTTCAGTTCCTGGCATTCATTAGACAAGTATTCCTATATTTCTGAAAAAGAAATAATGTTAAGGTGTATTTTTCAATTCATTTTCTAAATCCAACACATACACAAATTCTATAATTAAACATCAATATACATGTATGGAAGGGTATCGCCTCCAATATTAAATGTTCTGCTGCAATGTCTTTTCCATTGATTATACACGTATGTAAAAAGTACAAAGTCCTAATACCGGTAATGAAGTCAAAATACTGTCATAGTGTGCAACAAACATATATTTCATTATATTTCAATTGTAATTATTTTGTTTACATGCTTCTGGTCATGGAATGACTACTTTTGCCTACAAAAGTTTTTTCTTCAGGACCGGAGGGTATTGTCATAGTGTGCAACAAACATATATTTGTTGTACACTAACAATTAATTAAAGACAAGCTTAAGCCATTAGCCTGCTTTGAAATTGATAATCCCTCCTGTCCAGTTAAACTTAGGTTGTTAACATGTCTTGGTCTGGGTTATTATCCTCTCCTTTAGAAACGGATTAAATACTTAAGAATGCACGCTAATCAAACCTATGGTACCGAAATTAGGATATAAATCAACAATCCTGCTACAACCAACAGCCTTACTATAATCAGGAACACTACAGGAAGCGAGACCACCAGTATCAACAGCTTTATCAGAACCAGCAACGAGCCCGAAGATCAAACCAGAATCAACCAACAGAAAGTTGTCGTAGTTATGATAAGGTTGGAGGGTGCTTTCCAAAATATAAATGTGATTATTTTAATTTTAAGTGTGAAAATTGCTTCAAAATAGGTCACCATACAAACGTGTGTAGGTTTCCTGGAAGACGCATCCCCAGCCCCCAAACAAATAAGACGCCTGGTTCAGCATTTTTGAACAGGCATAAGAAAAGCAAAATAGTGCAATTAATAGCCCCCCTAGAGCGCAATACCATATCTGTTAGTGTAAAAGGATTTAGAACAAGTGCATTATTGGACAGTGGTGCTAGTGTGTCATGCTGTACACTAAGCTATTTAGAGAAAAATGGAATTTCAATTCATCAACTGAATAAAAGAGAATTCAGCAATATTTTTGGCGTAGGCGGCGAAACCCACCCAGTATTAGGCACTAAAATAATTCCAGTACGAATAGGAAATGTTACCTTTGAGCAAAAGTTTCATGTGTTTAATAAACTGCACCAATCAATGATTTTAGGTATCGATTTCCTCACGGATAACAAAGCACAAATCAACATTAATAATCGCACAGTTTCACTAAAAGACGTCCTTTTCACGTTGCACTTATTGAATGTAATGCTGGCTTGGTCAGGTCACTAACGTCATGTAAACTGGCACCTAGACAGGAATATGATGTCCCCATAGTGTTATCAAGAGTATATGCAAACTCAGTATTACTGCTATGCACGTAAACCATATTGATCACACCAAGCAAACTGACAATAACTTTGTTTTAGCAGACTCAGATCTTTCCCAACAAGAAAAAGAGCAATTGAATTATTTTCTACAAACTCAAAGAAATGTGTTTGCTACATCTTGGGATGAATTGGGAGAAACGAACATGCATCAACACAGAATCGAAACTGAAAATGCTGCAGCAGTGAGAATCGCGTTTTACCGTTAATATCCGATTGACTTTAAATTTATACACACTGTTTAAGGTCATGAGACGAAGAATCCTATTGATTTTCAGCAATTTCCGATAATTACTGCCAGAGTTATGGCCCTTGATCACTTTGAAAAATCTTGCAGGCGCTCTAGAGGCTAAAGTTAATATCCGATTAATTTTAAATTTATACACAGTGTTTAAGGTCATGAGACAAAGAAGTCTATTCATTTTCAGCGAGTTTCGATAATTACTGCCAGAGTTATGACCCTTGATCACTTAAAAAAAATCTTGTAAATGCTCTAGAGGCTAAAGTTAATATCCGATTGATTTCAATTTGATACAGTGTTTGTAGTCATGAGACGAACTATAATCATATTGATTTTCAACGATTTCCGATAATTACTGCCAAAGTTATGGGCCTTCATCACTTTGAAAAATCTTGTGACGCTCAAGAGGCTAAGGTTATCATCCGACTGACTTCAGATTGATACGCAGGGTTTAAGGTCTTGAGACGAACAAGTATATTGATTTTCAATGATTTTTTATGACTTGCACAGCTAAACCCATGATGTTAAAAGTTTTATATACTAAACTTTAGCACGGGACAGAACTTTATCAAAACCAAACAAATTCTAATGGTTTTTTGATAATTACTTAATGAGTTGTTACTCTTAATCAGATTTTAATGTATTATAAATGTTTCATTGCCGAAAAAAGTTAAAATATGCGACCACTCTTGTTGACTGCCCGGACGATTTAGCTGCCGTGGGCGTATGTTTCGTTGCCTGGCAACCTATCTTTTTTCTACATAAAGAAAGAAAAGTAAAATATCTCGGCTTCCACATATAACGCAAGAGATTGTTCGTAGAATTCATAGACTTTACTACGAAGAATTTTACTCTGAAGTCACCAGGGTTTTGTTTGAACGTGTGTGACAGTCCATGAGCAATGTAGAGAGGGTTTTTAACACCCACTCGACACACACTAGGTCATTTCGGGACTAACATATGGTTCAATTTTATTTCCATAATTCGCTTGCGCGTAGGGATCTTTAGCAGTGGGAGGGAACCGGAGGACCCGGAGAAAACCAATGAGGTTGGACAGGCGACCCTACTCCTTGTTACGTACAACCGGCCCATGGATGGGTATTATATAATTTATAAACAGGATAGCATTATAATGCAAAAGATGACAGCACCAAAAAGAGACATTCATACAGCTTCGATCTCGCGTGATTAAAAACTAGGTACCGCGTGAACTAATTTGCATACTGGCTAATTTCATTACTTGCTCTGTGTTACGATACATGAGACATATGTCGAAGGGTACAATACATAGGGCGAGTGTCAAATTAGAAGATGTCAGAGTTCAGTGATTAAAGTTCTGGGTAGATGGACTTCAGCTTTTTGTGAAAAGTCTAATGTGAAATGTTTAATGACAAAAAGTAGATGTCAATTTACACGATGTATTTGTCAGTATTACTGGATTTTTTACTTTTGACTTACACAATTTACACATTACATTCAACATTTGCAAAATTGGACATGTAATAGCATTAACAACATAGCACTGACTTTTGACTCAATTCCCCCGTCATACCCATTAACATATGACTGCCCCAATCATAATCACCGAATTATCGTCTTGCATTGTTATCGATTAACCATATATTGTGATTGGAATATTTTAGAGTGAATTTAAAATGCCGTAAATCCATTTAAGCTGCCTTTGTTTAATAGGTCACATGGAAATGAAGACGATCCAAGCAATTGGCGCACTTACCGGTAATTTGGATAACCCAAACTATTCTCTATAGGTACAGAAATACAAATGGTGCCAGTCATTTGTCGATATATAATAATAACCATTCCTATACACAAAAGAACTTTTATTTTAAGGGCAAGATAAAGTGACACCATTTTGTCACAACACCTGAAATGGGGGGGGGGGGGATTTACACTAGCTTTAATGCCAATATGATGGTATCTACATGTGCCTGAGATGATACATAACAATAAAAAATGGATGGAAATCCAAAATAATGACTTTGAAGTAAAACATTTACCAAATAATGAAGCAAATTCCTAAGTCAGGACTGCGCAGCTACAAGCTTTATAAAAAAGAACTCGGGAAAATTAGACTGGCTTTAAGTTGCTCAGATAATCAAACTACAACCATCAAGACTTAAAATTTGACAAAAAATTAGCAAACTTAGTTATAGGACCTCAAAGTTTTCAAATATATAGTGTAAACAAAAGGCCATTTTGTTTCTACAATACTTTCACTATAGATGTATGGTGTACCACTAGTGGCACAATGAACAGCAATATGAATGTGACTGTATTTAACATAGTGTGCTACATTGTGCAAATAGCCTTCATATTCCTGGGGGGGGGGGGGGGGCATGACTTGAAAGTTGAATACAGCTATACATGTATTACAATGCACGTTTGTCTGCTAAGGAAATGAATGTCAGGCCCTCCGTTCTGCACCACTGACAAATGGAAACCACGTCGGAAAATCCAGATGAACTTTCTCGCCCAATGCAGGGATCGAACACCCGACTTCCAGGCTAGCGAGCCAGCGTCTTAACCACCTAGCCACCGTGGCTCCCTGTCTGCTAAGGCTTATTACATGTATATAGTTATACCATATTGATGAATGTATTATGTGTGTTAGAGACAGAGAGATGGTTAATTTCCTCTGGATACAAACTATGTCATTTTAAGACTAACACATGGTTGAAATTTATTTCAATAATTCGCTAGCGCGTATGGGTCTTTAGCAGTGGGAGGACCCGGAGAAAATCCACGAGGTTGGACAGGCGACCCTACTGCCTGTCACATACAAGCGGAGAACTGAAACTACGCCACTTGACTCAATGACAGACCTTGTAATCAAATGTGCACGCGTTAATGTTTCGGCCACCCAATTTACTTAAAAAGCATTCATCTAATGTACAGGTATGTACATCAAATGGAATAATCCACATTAATTTGTTATACCCACTTGTTATTATATTATTGTCAACAAATCCTAAATCACATTTCAGTTCCTGGCATTCATTAGACAAGTATTCCTATATTTCTGAAAAAGAAATAATGTTAAGGTGTATTTTTCAATTCATTTTCTAAATCCAACACATACACAAATTCTATAATTAAACATCAATATACATGTATGGAAGGGTATCGCCTCCAATATTAAATGTTCTGCTGCAATGTCTTTTCCATTGATTATACACGTATGTAAAAAGTACAAAGTCCTAATACCGGTAATGAAGTCAAAATACTGTCATAGTGTGCAACAAACATATATTTCATTATATTTCAATTGTAATTATTTTGTTTACATGCTTCTGGTCATGGAATGACTACTTTTGCCTACAAAAGTTTTTTCTTCAGGACCGGAGGGTATTGTCATAGTGTGCAACAAACATATATTTGTTGTACACTAACAATTAATTAAAGACAAGCTTAAGCCATTAGCCTGCTTTGAAATTGATAATCCCTCCTGTCCAGTTAAACTTAGGTTGTTAACATGTCTTGGTCTGGGTTATTATCCTCTCCTTTAGAAACGGATTAAATACTTAAGAATGCACGCTAATCAAACCTATGGTACCGAAATTAGGATATAAATCAACAATCCTGCTACAACCAACAGCCTTACTATAATCAGGAACACTACAGGAAGCGAGACCACCAGTATCAACAGCTTTATCAGAACCAGCAACGAGCCCGAAGATCAAACCAGAATCAACCAACAGAAAGTTGTCGTAGTTATGATAAGGTTGGAGGGTGCTTTCCAAAATATAAATGTGATTATTTTAATTTTAAGTGTGAAAATTGCTTCAAAATAGGTCACCATACAAACGTGTGTAGGTTTCCTGGAAGACGCATCCCCAGCCCCCAAACAAATAAGACGCCTGGTTCAGCATTTTTGAACAGGCATAAGAAAAGCAAAATAGTGCAATTAATAGCCCCCCTAGAGCGCAATACCATATCTGTTAGTGTAAAAGGATTTAGAACAAGTGCATTATTGGACAGTGGTGCTAGTGTGTCATGCTGTACACTAAGCTATTTAGAGAAAAATGGAATTTCAATTCATCAACTGAATAAAAGAGAATTCAGCAATATTTTTGGCGTAGGCGGCGAAACCCACCCAGTATTAGGCACTAAAATAATTCCAGTACGAATAGGAAATGTTACCTTTGAGCAAAAGTTTCATGTGTTTAATAAACTGCACCAATCAATGATTTTAGGTATCGATTTCCTCACGGATAACAAAGCACAAATCAACATTAATAATCGCACAGTTTCACTAAAAGACGTCCTTTTCACGTTGCACTTATTGAATGTAATGCTGGCTTGGTCAGGTCACTAACGTCATGTAAACTGGCACCTAGACAGGAATATGATGTCCCCATAGTGTTATCAAGAGTATATGCAAACTCAGTATTACTGCTATGCACGTAAACCATATTGATCACACCAAGCAAACTGACAATAACTTTGTTTTAGCAGACTCAGATCTTTCCCAACAAGAAAAAGAGCAATTGAATTATTTTCTACAAACTCAAAGAAATGTGTTTGCTACATCTTGGGATGAATTGGGAGAAACGAACATGCATCAACACAGAATCGAAACTGAAAATGCTGCAGCAGTGAGAATCGCGTTTTACCGTCTGTCAATACAAGTTAAAGAAGAGAGTACTAAGCAAGTGAAAGAGATGCTACACAGCAACATCATCCAAGAAAGTGATTCTCAATGGCATTCCCCTTTAGTGATGGTTAGAAAAAGGATGGTACTTACAGATTTGCAGTGGATTACAGGAAATTAAACGCAATCACAAAGCCGATTTACTTTCCTATTCCCAGATTTGATGATGCCATCGACTCTGTGGGGCAGTCTCAAGCAAAAATGTTCTCAGTTTTGGACTGTGCCAGTGGATTTTGGCTAATTCCATTAGATCCAGAAACAAAGCACAAATCCGCATTCATCACACAAGAAGGTGTCTTTGAGTTCAATCGTCTACCATTTGGATTGAAAAACGCCCCAAAGACATTCCAGTCTACTATGTCTAAAGCACTTCGACAGATGAACTGGAAATATGGCCTGATATACATAGATGATATTATTATATTCTCCAAGAACTTTCAGGAACACCTGCACCATCTTAAAGAAGTCTTCGCGAAACTTCAGGAAGCAGGCCTTACGTTGAAACCCAGCAAGTGTCGTTTTGCAGCCAGAAAAGTTACCTATCTTGGACACATATTTAGCAAAGAAGGAATCCATGCAGATCCATCCAAAGTCGAAGCAGTAAATACATTTCCAGCACCAAACAAAGGTTCGTCAATTCTTAGGACTTGCTAATTACTATAGAAAATTTGTGTCAAACTATTCTAAATTAGCAGCTCCTTTAACTAAGTTTCTACAGAATGACACTAAGTTTGTTTGGTCAGATGAATGTCAAACGTCCTTTGATAGTCTCAAATGGGCATTAATCAATGCACCTATCTTGGCTTATCCTGATTTCAACAAGGAGTTCATCTTGACGACGGATGCAAGTGGAGAAGCCTTAGGTTATATACTTGGCCAGCTTAATGATAAAGGACAAGGGACAGTTATTTGTTATGGTGAAAGAGCTTTTCATGCTGCTGAAAAGAAATGGTCTATAACCGAGCAAGAGTGGCTTGCAGTTTTGGAAGGAATAAAAGCATACCGACCGTATTTGGCCCACAGTAAGTTCAAGGTTTATACAGACAATAAAGCGGTCGCCTTCCTTAAAACCTGCAAGCCCAGTGGAACTGGACGCTTGGCAAGATGGGCTGTGTTTTTACAAGGTTATGAACACAAATTTGTTCACAAGATTTGTAGATCGAACAAAAATGCAGATGCTCTGTCTAGAAGGCAGTATCCGCAGTCTTCCACACCAAATGACGCCGACGAAATTATAGCTTGCCTTAAATCAATAGAAGACATAAACAGTGGACTTACAGAAACCAAGGAACATCTTGAAGTCACGTTTTCTTACGGTAAGCACCTACTAGCTGCAGTACAACCCCAGGAAGAACGGGCGTTTCCAGATGTTAGTACTAGACAAAGGATTAGTCCCGAATTAAGTGTTCTCTTTAACTACATCGAAAAGGGTTATATTCCTGCCCAATATACCGACTAACAAATTACCGGGCTTGTTGGGCGTGCCAAGGAATATGACCTTTTGAATGGGACCCTGTACCACTTCTATCAGACCAAGCATAGAGGCAACAAGAAGAACAGGTGTACTATGACCACACAGTTGGCGATTCCAGAACCGGATCGATTATCACTGCTTGAGGCATATCATGACTCTAAATTAGGAGGATGTCACCTGAGACGGGATGCAACACGTCATTCAATTTTACCAAAGTACTTCTGGCCTGACATGTACCAAGACATTGAAAATTATATAAAAACATGTGATATGTGCCAGACCAAACCCAGCCATGCAAAGAACGCACCAATGGAACCTTTGAAAGAATTCATGTCGACATCCTTGGACCATAAGACAAATCTAAAAATGATGCTAAATATGTCTTGCTTGCAATTGACTCCTACATCAAATGGACCGAAGCCTTCCCAATGAAAACCCAAGAAGCTACCGAAGTTACGGTGCGCCAAGGGCAGTTCTTAGTGATAGAGGAAGGCAGTTTACCTCCAAGTTGGTCAATGGATTATTTGAGATATACGACATTAAACATAATGCCACATCAGCATATCACCCACAAACTAACGGTGTGTGTGAAAGAAGAAATAAAGACATCGCGCAGATTTTACGTACGTATGCAAATGCCGCTCAGGACAACTGGGATGAAATACTGCCGTTCGTGATGATGGCTTTACGAAGCACACCTTGTCAATCGACAGGCTGGAGCATCTTAAAGCCACCAAAGCCATGGGAACAGAAAACATGACAATGGCACAACAGCAATCAAAGGAGTATTATGACAAAAATACTGCACCACCCAAATTAGCTGAATGTGATACGGTCCTTTTACACAACAAAGCTGCACGCAAAGCTATTGAAAAAGTACCAAGGACCATATGCAATTGACAAATTAGGACCTAATAACACCTACCAACTTCGGGACTGTGAGACGTTTAAGGTGAAGAAAGGATTAGTGAATCACAACAGGCTTAAGGAGTATCACTTGGGCCAACCCAGAAATAACGAGGTCACTCCTGCTTCTAGTATCGCAACTAATCCATAATCTCAACCAACCGAACCACACCTCGAGTACAAAAATTAAATTCTTAAACGAAGGCCAATGAATGGACAGGTGGAATATCTTGTAAAGCGGTCCAAATCACCGTCTTCGTGGGAGTCAGCTGAAAATGTCTGTCCGGATAGAAGGACGCTCTTCGGCGAGAACTATAGGAATGACGGTCGAAAGAAAAAGAAGAAAAAGCGAAAGTTTTTCCACAACTAACACTTTAGCCGCCCCTGTTAACCAATATTCACAGTATTTCACGCAAGTAATCTTACTAAATTTGTCTAATTTCGATTAGCACCAAGCACTATGCTAATATCAATACTGCGCAGTCGCACAGTGTTTGTTACAGAGCCACTACTCTTCCTTGTTCGTTAAGGTAGCATTTCATAAGTAAACATATTTTTAAAGGTTTATTGCATCAATCACGCAACTTTAGCTGTACTTGTTCTTGTGTCATTTATTATATCATCAGGGTATTGATATTCCTGAATTGAGTTACAGTCACAATTGTTGTTGTAAAGAATCCTGCCCCCCCCCCCCCCCAATTAGATCTGCCACCTTGCCTATGCTTCATTGTAAATCCCCTGTGGAATCGGGGCACGACTTGATCCACTGCTTCTCTAATTGCAGGTCGTAAAAGGCGACCAAAATTAGGGCAATGAAAAGATCCATATTTTATTTTTTAATAATTTAACTAAATATATATATTTCTTTATTTAAACAGTAGATTGGTTTAGCGCGGAGTAGCTAACCATACTAATCCATCATACTTATACTTATGTTGTCTTGGTGACGATCAGATCAAAATAATTGTATCAAAATTTTAATTGAAAT